TGGTACGTCATTGTTATGTAGTCTACAAATTGCAATGAAAAATATAATAATAATAAATAATTTATTAGTTTTCATCACACCTATTTACATCTCTCTCTCTCTCTCTCTCTCTCTCTCTCTCTCTCTTCTCTCTCTTCTCTCTCTTTTCTCTCTTATATATATTATATATATATATATTTATATTATATATATATATATATATAATATATATTATATATATAATAAAAGTGTGTATGTGTGTGTGTGTGTGTGTGTGTGTGTGTGTGTGGTAAAGAATCGAAAGCTTAAATAACATTTATTAAATATTAACTAAATACAGCACAGGTTATGTACATTAAGCACCAACCTAAGAGAGAGTCATGTATTTTCACATATTCCTCACATATTCGCATTGGCAGATGTGTACATAAGGATAATGATATATGTACTTCAATCAATTATTTTTATTTAATCAACTTTGTACATTTGGCAATGAATGAAACCAAGAGGAGAAGTATTCAGGTATTTTGCCTTGAAAACAAGTGTGCTGGAAGAAACTATACCAGAGGTGATTTATATCTACACTTAACTCAGTTATATATATATATATGTGTATATAATATATATATATATATATATATATATATATATATATATATATATATATATATATATATATTATATATATATATATTATATATAAACCAATGGAGACAGGATACAGTTTTATTTGCTTACACAAGCCTATTAATATGATGTATATAAAAATAGCAGACATCACAGATCAGTTCTCTTTAGGCCAACCTCTGATGACACTCATCAGAACTATGACATGAGAGTCAGTCAAGGTACAGTTTGTCTACAGATAATTGGATACAAACAATATGTGTAACGAGTGAAAGATTTATGCCAGTTCTTGTTGTTTCTGAAGGTGTGTGTCAAGAATACTTTATTTATAAATGACAATGTATCTTTTGTATAGTATTATGGTGCTTGAGTTCATGTAAATATAAATGTACTTTACATTTAACTTCTAATTTTAATTTAATGGTAAAAAAAATATTTAAACATTATCCGTAGCAAGATATAGATAATTTGCTTCAATAAACTTAACTTTTGCTTTAGAATGTAATTCATACTATCATCGATCAGAATTTTTAAAAAAGATTACCTGACTTCATCAGATTAACGAGAATTCCTATACAGTACAAACTAGTAATTTAGAGCCGGAAAGATAGCACACAAAAACATTACTCAGCCTCAGAAATGTCTAAATTGTAGGCTGTAGATACAGTTAATAGCGTTGTCCCTTGATGCCGATACAGGGCTCTTGATTACCTCCCATTCTCCATGAATGTTATAATAAATCCATATACTAAATATGTTGTGGGTAATCAGAGGATAATTGCCAGGCTAGAGAGATCTCTTCTTTTACACACAACTCAACTGTCATCAGTCCAGCTGAAGACCACTTTGAACAAACAACTCGCTCATATACACTAAATCATTCTTAGCACAAAAAATGCATCAACTAAGTTGATACAGGTAAATATACTACCAGAATCACTTGTAGGATACACATACACTCAGTGAATGGCCATCATGCAACCCCTTGAGCATGTAGATATATAAGGAAAGGTCATGAATGTGGAGCCATTTAAATGTATGATTATGAAGACATGCGAGCATACTGTTTGTATGAAATTACAATGCAACTAGTATGAAGAGAGAGGCATACATAAAATGTTTATAGGTAGATATTATGTAACCAGTATGTAGAGACCACACAGAGCCTTCGTGTAAGTAAATTTTCTTAGTCAGCTTTTAGGGTAATGTGCATGATCAAGATATTTACAAACAGTTGCACGGTGCATATATAACTAATCTCACTAGGATTAATATGTACGTGTATATACAGAGGAACCACTCCTCACTAGACACCCAAGTTAACACACTCTCCGAAATGTAAATATCACAGTCCCACTAGCCCGTTCCTCTTTAATATGTTCCAGCTTAGATAAAAGGAGGTGCACGGTATCTGGAGACGTATAACATTGCCAGGACAATGATTGAAGAGTTTTCTTATTGTGGGAAAGTAATACTGGAAGTCGACACCTACCAACCAACCACACGCAGCATACTGTGGACAACAGTCAACTGTCTGGTGAATGTCGCATCTGTGAGGTTCTGGGCTCAAACATGGGTACCGGTTTTTCAAAAGTCGGGTCAGAGAGTCAGGAGTCAAGGTAGAGTAAGAGAGGACTGGTCGCTGTGTTGCTGCTCCTCGCTCGTCAGGTCTCGCAGTAGGTGTCCCTCCTGCAGCGCTTCCGTCACTCGCTCCCAAGGGAATCTCGCCTCTGTCTCATCTGTTGTTGTAGCAGATATTCAGTGAAAGGTCAGAAATAACTTTTATATAAAACATAGGCAAGCTACTGAGTCTACTTTATTAACTAGACGGAAAGAAATATTAGAATGGATATAATTCTAACATACAAAATATTCTTTTAAAACATATGATTATAAAACATATTTTTAAAACATGCTTTTAAACATATGCTTTTAAAAGGTAATACACACATTATTTTTGTTTCGGTATAATGGTTAAAGTAAAAATAATTCAGTATTACCTAGTGTTATTTTATAAATTTAAAATGAATTTTCAGGCAACAAGTAGTTCACTTAAGCATAAAATTGTTCTCTTGTACTAAATAAGATTAGCCTTAAATGCCGCGATTGTTATTGAGCTAAAATAATGACTAACTGGACAGCTGGAGCGGCCAGCGAGATGGGTGGCCGCAGCCACACTCTTGTGGTTCCAGGCGGTCCAAGACCTTATTGAGGGGAAAGACCATGGCATAAAGTTTTATTTAAATTATATATGTGGAGTGCCAAGACAAACGAATGAACCAATTGTTAGGGAACACAAATACCACATGAAACAGAAAGTAGATTGTATTTTATCAGTATGTTTGTAAGCAGGGTAGCAGCATTAAGTCCATAGGTTTAGGAACAACAACAGTATCGTTCAATAATATTTTTCACAGGTAACTTTTATTTTTAAAAGATCAGGGAGTTTATACCGGAAGAATTAGTCCTTCCAGGTTCGGGGTAAGTGAAATATTATTTTAGTCTAGTGATAACCCAGCCAATATCATTATACTGGAATCCAGAAAAGTGTTTTGAGAAAGTGTATTGAATGGTGAGTCTAACAATAATTAAAAGAAAATCTTCAATTTAATAAGAATCCAATAACATATTACCAGGTGCTTGCAAGTGACTCATTTCTTAAACTTTACTTTCGATGATGAACATGAGAGTCATGATAGCCAACTGAGTAAACAATTAAGTTGTGGCTGGTGGACTGACCTGAAACCTGGCGGCCAACACGGCGGTAGTTCCTGGAGACACACATCATGCCATACACACGGATGCCAGGTACCTGAGCGTAGGTAGGCTGGTCGTGGTTCAGGGGCCCCTCTAAGGGTGGCACGAGAGAAGTAATGTTAGCGTCTGTATTATTACACTTTAAAGCACTCATCCTTCTCACCTTAACAATCTTGGCACCTTACAATTAAAAATAAGTGTGGGCGTAGCTTCCCACTGTGACCTATCTTCTGGCCGCCCACGGCTGCTACCAGAGATGGGCTTGAAGTAGTTAATATAACAGAGGTACAATATCCTTTTTACCACGTTCATTGTCTTACGCTAAACCCAATGTCAGTTTCGTGATGCTCCCTATCAACTTCTAAATATTATTTTATTTATTGTAAACTAGGTGACTTGATAAAGCTCTAACAGTGCGAAACATTGTCCCAATAACAGCGTGTTCCAAAACGTGCATTTTCTTCACAAAGTCGGCAATGCGTGTTTTTTTTTTTTTTTGATCTCATACCTTTCTACTTGAAAATAAACCCCATTATCATTTACACTTGGCACCTGAAGCTTCCCTACTGCATCTTCCACAACAGTTACTCCGTCTTTAGTATGTGTATGTCTCTCAAAATATTTACATTATTCGCTCTTCTCGCAATTTCTTAAACAATCGCTCAACACCTTACCGAATCTCTCTCATCTATCCTTCCATCAAAGTGAGCACCTTGATGCTGATTAAATGCTCTTGATACAAGAATCTAAGTTACCCTCTGCATTCTCGGATAAAACCTGATTACCTCCCTCTTGATATATCCTATTTTTTTCTTCTCAGTAATTATGTGCAGAAAGAAAGATCACTAGCCCTATGTTCCAGACATTTTAGTCGCCTTATAAGATAAGAATGACCATGGGGGTACGTTGCAACTCGCTTGTCCAGGAAAAACTGCAAAGGAAATACAACATGATTAAGATCTATAAAGAAACACACAAGTAAACAGATAATATACATAATTTCAGTACTTCGTGAATGAGCCTTATCTGCCAACTTTAAGAATCGTGAGAAAGAAAAGCCCAGCAGTCCTGCCAGAGTGCAGTACATTGAACACTTACTTTGTTCATCTCTCTCTCTCTCTCTCTCTCTCTCTCTCTCTCTCTCTCTCTCTCTCTTCTCTCTCTCTACTCTCTCTATCTATTCTATCTATCTATCTATCTATCTATATTATTTTATATATATATATATATATATATATATATTATATATATATATATATATATATATATATATATATTATATATATATATATATAGGGGGTACCACCTCTGAGATGTTTTAGGGACCCTCATCCTCAGAGAAAAAAATAAACTTTCTTCAGGGAAACTCAAGGGTTTTCCCCGAAGCTGTTTGAGAATTTTCTCCTACCACCCCCTATATTTTATATATATTTTATTTAAAGACAAAATACATTGACAAAACATTCACAAAAATACGATAGAAAGTGAAACAACATAGGTAACTCAAAGCTACATCTCGAATACTTCGTCCAGCCCCCCGGCGGTGGGCCGCGTGACCAGAATGCTGCAGGCATTTCCTCTCTGGATCGCAACACTGAGTCTCTGAAAAAGGAAGCTGGTCGCCCTGTGGTCCTTGGTTTCTATGATGAGCTTTTCACCCAGCTCTATTATAAACTTTAGAGCACACTTGCCCCATGCTCCAAGGGTCTCCGACCCTATTGGGATGAAGTTATAGCAAGGGGGAAGGTCTTCATATTTGCGGATCTTCTGGGTCTCCCTGTGGCTGGCAGCTCCACCCCCTTCCACTACGCTCCAAGGGAGCATAGTGGCTCCATCAGGACGCTTTTGACTTCCGTCAGACCTCTGCACTTGGGGTTCCCGTTGAGCTGGGCAACGAGCTGTGGCGAGGCTTCTCTTTATGATGTCATTGACCTCATGCTTGGCATACTTCCCTTCTGCTGTGTGACACACGAGGCCATGAAGTCCGAATTGATCAGCTGCCGCCCTGCTGCAAATACACCTATGTTCGGTGAGGATGGGGGCGGCTAGGCGAAGAGCAACACCAATCCGAATGGCCTGTGGGTCTAGTCGAGTGCCCAAGGAGGAATTGGGAACAGCTAACAGGAAATCTCCTGAGTGTGGTGCCTTCACTGCCAGGAGACGAGCTTTGTCCTTTCCTGAGGCGTTGGAGAGCATTGCGTTGGCGATTTTTTCCATGATCGGTTTGTCCCAGTGGGACTGTTTGTGTTCTTTGGGAGGAGCTGGTCTACTGGAGGAATCTTTAAGGGTGTCCCACCAAATCGCTGCTTCAGTAAACCTGGGGTCTTGAGCTCCTACCACGTCTCTCAAGCGTTCGGGAACAATCTTCTTGACTAATGCACTGGAAGCCAAACACGAAGACAGGAAAGCAGGTAAAGCAACATGCGTTGCTTTGTGCACCCCTATACCTCCCAGTCGTACTGGGAGGGTTGCCTGATCCCATTGCTGATCCTCTAGTGACAGGTTCAGTGCCTTCTTAAGGGTTGACCTCAGGTGTGCGTCATATTCGTCGAGTGTTGAGTTGTCAAAAGAGGGTGCACACCTCAGGAAGTAAGTGAGTCTTGGAATAGTAAGGCACCTTGTGAGGAGATACAGAGCATCATGGGCATCAAGATTGCTTACTCTCTCCTCCATTCTCATCAGGTCATTCAATTTGTCCTTGAGGACTGTGTCGATGGCCTGGTGACCCAGCGGTGCTCCCAAGAGGGTACTGTTGGACGGAGTGGTAGCAGAGACTTCTGGGAGGATTCTTCGCACAGCATTGATTATTTCCTGGTTTGCTGTGATGATTTCACACTTGGAGGGAGTGAGGATGAGTCCTATATATATATATATATATATATTATATATATATATATATATATATATATATATATATATATATATATATATATATATATATATATGTATATATATATATATATATATATATATATATATATATATATATATATATATATATATATATATATATATTATTATTATATATATATATATATATATATATATATATATATTATATATATATATATATTATATATATATATATATATTATATATATATATATATATATATATATATATATATATAATGTACTATAGCACTTTCAGGATTAGAGCTGCAACATTATTTTTGCATAAGTGTTAAACTTTAAAAACCCTCGGCTCCACAATGCCCGTGAAAGGTAATTAAATCCCAAGGACACTTTTTTTTTTTTTTTTACCTGATTTTCCTTTTCACTCTGAAGGCTTCATCATGATATCTATCTTACCCTCTTACCTTATCCTGCAACTCTCCCCTCTATTATTTTTAAATTTCCGTCAGTTACTTTCATGGTATTGTGAGTTATAGACTGATTAGCAAGATCAGATCTTCTTCTTTTAGGAATTTAGTCCCTTAACCTTCTGACGAGAGTCGAGGGTGTTACCTCCCCTTCACATCAGGTGGCTTCAGGAGCGGCATAAATAATAATGTCTAAACTGAAGAGTGTTTAGTAATACCTGGAATGGAGCACCTGTTATGCCTTTTCACAAATCTGATGTGAACAATGGTTGATAGGCTCCTGACACTGTGATTATTTCTTAGTGGGTAAAGTGAGCATATGAAACATTAATCCCTGGTTGAAGAACTAGCCTTTCCAACTTTTCTCTCATATTTCACTGGTCACATTTTCACTCAGCTAATGATGCCTCCAGTGATTCCTGCTACTCATCCAGCCGTGGCAGATCCTCTGCTATCCCAGAGGACTGCCTGGCTACAAGAATAGCACGTCAGTCTCACGCTTATCGGACGATGGATAGAACGACCACCACTCCTTAGGCTGAATGACCCCCATGGATTTAACGCTTTATGTAAATATAAACTTAGTAATAAGATTTCCTGGGCCTCCTTTGTGTCCTGTTGTGCCCTCACCGAGCTTGGAGGAGTCTGGGCACTTGCAGATGACGAGATAGTGAGCCTTGCCGGTGCGGGTGTTCTGCAGGGCGAGGATGGACCAGTCCCTCGGCTTGCGACACTTCCTCACACTCCACACTGGCTCACACGTCTTGATCAGCGTCGTCGCCTGGAAGGGCGAGAGTTCAGTGCTTGGAGATGGGCCCTGAGGGACGAGGAAGGTGTTCAACAACATCAACTGTGTTACAGTCTACTGAGATGAGAAACATGAGGAGCCTTGTCATGTAATTCAGTAGATTATAAGAGCATTAAGAACAAGAAATATTCTCTGAATAGACGAATTAAGGTTTAGTCTTGCATTTAAAGATTAATAAATGAAATACCAAAACAGGAAGAAGGTTTATAGACAACGATGCAAGTTGCAAAGCAACGTCACAAAAAAAAAGTTTTGTTTTGCACTTTCTTTGTCTTCATTCTTGTTGCCAATACGTCATTTCATCCACACCGGAAGGACATGTAAATGTTGCTCTGGTGAAAACTTCAAAATAACGAAGTGTGAAGCAAAGACAAGGGATTTTGTGCATATATATATATATATATATATATATATATATATATATATATATATAATATATATATATATAATATATATATATATATGTCGTGCCGAATAGGCAAAACTTACGATCTTGGCTTAAATAGCAACGCTCATCTTGCCATATAGGACAAGTGAAAATTTGTGTATGCAATAATTTCGCCAAAATCATTCTGAACCTAGCGAAAAAAATATATTTCACTGTGTTTGTTTAGTATTAAGTTATTGTAAACAAATCTAAAATATATTTAGTTGGGTTAGGCTAAAATAAATTGTTCTTCTTATAATAAGGTTAGGTAAGTTTTCTAAGTTCCTTTTGGTGCAAAATTATAAATTTTTGCATCAACATTAATGAAAAAATATATCTTTAAACGTATAAAAGAAAATTTTAGAAAGGGCTTAATTTTAAATGAGTTCTTGCTAATTGACCAGTTTTACGTATTCGGCACGACATAATGTATATATATATATATATATATATATATATATATATATATATATATATATATATATATATATATATATATATATATATATATATATATATAACATGCTTCGGATGAAAGGGAAATGAAGATATTACTAGTAGGAAAAATATATATATCAACCTTTAACCCAGGTATGCAGAAATAAGCATACACACACACACACACACACAATATTATAATCATCCCTGTATGCCTGATAATACAAGCCTTGGGTGAAACGTCGTAGTAAAAGGATTCCCTGCTTCCAGTATCTCTGTTTCAAACTACTTCTGATACCAGTGTCTACGTGCTGGGGATGAGGTAAAGTCGACAAGATGGCTACAAGACACTATGGCAGAATGAAAACATTTAATGAGACAACGAATCACCTGGAGATCATGAACCATCAATGAAAATAAGTCACTTTGTCATTTTTGGTTATCTTATGTAAGACAATTATAATCATCCAAAACTATGTAACTGTAACTAATCTTTCTTATTTTCATGGTAAACATAGGTATAAATAGGTGGGATAGCAGGTGATGAGGTGACATTCTCATTTATGTCAGGTGAGGAGGGCAGTATGTGTACACACCCAATTGTGGTTTTAAGGGTCGAGTCATAGCTCCTGGTTCAGCCTCTTCACTGGTCGCTACTAGGTCGACTCTCTCCCGGTGTGTGTGTGTGTGTTGAGGATCATGTGAGCCAGGGGTCCTCTCACCTGGAGATTTCCATGGTTTTGAATAAAGGTGTCTGTGGCGTGAATGAAGGTGTCTGTGGCGTGAATGAAGGTGTCTGTGGTGTGAATGAAGGTGTCTGTGGTGTGAATGAAGGTGTCTGTGGTGTGAATGAAGGTGTCTGTGGTGTAAATGAAGGTGTCTGTGGTGTGAATGAAGGTTTCTGTGGTGTGAATGAAGGTGTCTGTGGTGTGAATGAAGGTGTCTGGGGTTTGAATGAAGGTAACTGTGGTGTGAATGAAGGTGTCTGTGGTGTGAATGAAGTTGTCTGTGGTGTGAATGAAGGTGTCTGTGGTGTGAATGAAGGTGTCTGTGGTGTGAATGAAGGTGTCTGTGGTGTGAATGAAGGTGTCTGTGGTGTGAATGAAGGTGTCTGTGGTGTGAATGAAGGTGTCTGTGGTGTGAATGAAGGTGTCTGTGGTGAGAATGAAGGTGTCTGTGGTGTGAATGAAGGTGTCTGTGGTGAGAATGAAGGTGTCTGTGGTATGAATGAAGGTGTCTGTGGTGAGAATGAAGGTGTCTGTGGTGAGAATGAAGGTGTCTGTGATGTGAATGAAGGTGTCTGTGGTGAGAATGAAGGTGTCTGTGGTGAGAATGAAGGTGTCTGTGGTATGAATGAAGGTGTCTGTGGTGTGAATGAAGGTGTCTGTGGTGTGAATGAAGGTGTCTGTGGTGTGAATGAAGGTGTCTGTGGTGAGAATGAAGGTGTCTGTGGTGAGAATGAAGGTGTCTGTGGTGAGAATGAAGGTGTCAGTGGTATGAATGAAGGTGTCTGTGGTGAGAATGAAGGTGTCTGTGGTGAGAATGAAGGTGTCTGTGATGTGAATGAAGGTGTCTGTGGTGAGAATGAAGGTGTCTGTGGTGAGAATGAAGGTGTCTGTGGTGTGAATGAAGGTGTCTGTGGTGTGAATGAAGGTGTCTGTGGTGAGAATGAAGGTGTCTGTGGTGTGAATGAAGGTGTCTGTGGTGTGAATGAAGGTGTCTGTGGTGAGAATGAAGGTGTCTGTGGTGTGAATGAAGGTGTCTGTGGTATGAATGAAGGTGTCTGTGGTGAGAATGAAGGTGTCTGTGGTGAGAATGAAGGTGTCTGTGATGTGAATGAAGGTGTCTGTGGTGAGAATGAAGGTGTCTGTGGTGAGAATGAAGGTGTCTGTGGTGAGAATGAAGGTGTCTGTGGTGAGAATGAGAGCTCACTCACAGCAACGTCTTATTTTCCCGTCTTTATGCTGCTTAAGCCGCTAGTTTACCTTTCTTTTTCACAGATACCCGTGCTCTCTCCAAGCCAGTCAGTGTTGTGCAGGAGGCCGTGTTACTATGTAACACACAGGCCTAGTTGTTGATGTCTGTGCAACAAGCATGTCTGTGCTCGTATATGGGTGTGGACAAATAAATCTTTAAGCTTAAACTGTGTCTCATTAAAAGTTTTCATTCTGTCATAGTGTCTTGCGAAAACATCCTTAGTAAAACGAAGTAAAACTCAGAAAGTAAAGAGACCAGAGAAATACAAAGCACAGTAATAAAAGAAAACATCAACACAGAAAACAGCAAGAAAAAAGATATCATTTAATAAAATTACATAGAGAAGATAGATATAACGTGCAACGAGAAAGACGATGACAGTACCATAAACAAGAGAGATGAAAACAAACAAGTGATGTAAAATGTTAACTAAATTATTATTATTATAATTTTGGGGGAGTGCTAAACCCGTAGGATTATACAGCGCCTGTAAGGGGGGATGCAAGGTATTCAGGCTCAAGGAACCGGAGCACAAATCCAATTCCTTAGATCAAGAGCCCCTCACTAGCTTCAAGGAACCTCCCTTGAGGGGTATGTTAACTAGAGATAATAGCGGGAAAAGCAGAGACAAAATGAGAACAATTGAATGAGAACAATAAGAATTTTGATACTAAAAATAATAAAAGGAGTAGGAACAACCAGCAGTACCGGGAGACAGGTGTTGGGGGACAGTGCAAACAAGAGGTGGTGAGAGGAACAAGGCTGGAGGTGACCCACCCGCGTCTCCTGTCCGCCCATGGAGAGTTCGATGGTTCGGTCGTCGTTGGCGAGGTAGGAGGTGCTGCAGGGGTCGCTGCCCTGGGGACACTGACACAGCGGCTGCGTAAACTTGAGACGCTTGTACACTGCATTGCACACCTGCCGGAGAACGTCAAGGTCACTAGAGGAAGACTCTGGCAGCTGTTCTGTTTATTGTGAAGCCTAACTGTACAATAACAGTTTTATTCCCTAAAACAGGGATTAAAATAAACACTGTGTATATACACTGTAAGATATAAACCTATAGTTGTATATACCGTACTTATACAACTTCTGAGTAACACTCGGGACGGACGTGCCTGGGCTAAGTGTCAGGAAAATAATAATGTGGATTATTATAGTGTAACATTGTGCCGATAAAAGTCAGAAAGTATTTAAGCCGCCCCGAGTGGAAGACTGAGTTGATCATTTTAATAACAATGCATTATTCCATCTGTTCTTTCTACCTCCGCTTGAAATCTAGATCAGACAGAAGTGTCGTCAGTGAGATGGGTAGCTGATGATGGCTCCGACATCAGCAGGAAAAAATGCTTTTGTTAGGAATCACTGATAATGTTTGTTGCAAGTGTTAATTATCTAGTTGTCTGGCTAGAGGCTAGTTTTATGTACACGAAGTTAAGTAACTGCGATATGAACATCAAAATGGTATACAATACCGACAGGTTGTTAGGTAAGACACATATGCAACAGTTAGACAACTTTATTCCGAGTTGTCTAACTGTTGTCTAACTGTTGCATATGTGTCTTACCTAATCGGAATAAAGTTGTCTAATTGCGATATGCTGGTTGGAGACTTGTTTGTGTGAAAAATAACAAGGAAATGTTCAGTGATTTATGTGACTATAGCCATGCCATGTTGGTGGCTTATTTCATTATGTCATGAATGGTAACATGGGTTATAAGTAGGCAGGAGCTACACATACCTGCTAGGCAGCAAGAGGCCGGAGCTACACGTACATGTTGGGTGGCAAGAGGAAGCAGGAGCTAAACGTACCTGCTGGGTGGCAAGAGGAAACACGAGCTACACGTATCTGCTGGGTGGCAAGAGGCAGGAGCTATATGTACCTGCTGGGTAGCAAGAGGCAGGAGCTACACGTACCTGCTGGGTAGCAAGAGGCAGGAGCTATATGTATCTGCTGGGTAGCAAGAGGCAGAAGCTACACGTACCTGCTGGGTAACAAGATGCAGGAGCTACATGTACCTGCTGGGTAGTAAGAGGCAAGAGCTGCACGTACCTGCTGGGTGGCTAGAGGAAGCAGGAACTACACCTACTTACTGGGTAGCAAGAGGCAAGAGCTACACGTACCTGGTAGCAAGAGGAAGCAGGAGCTAAACGTACCTGCTGGGCAGCAAGAAGCAGGAGCTACACGTACCTGCTGGGTAGCACACTCCGGCAGGTTAAATAAGTGATGATTGTGAGGGTAGAAGTGGTAGTGGAGATCATCCTGTCGGGAGGAAACAAAACACCGAGTTATCTTTTGTTGTTGTTGTTTGTTAAGGTATCATAGCGCTGATGAACTTTGTTATAGTAACTTCATAGCATAATGGCTGCTTTCGATAGTATCAGGAGTAACCTTGAACTATACTGAATTAATTAAATGATGAGGCTGCGTACAGAACGTGAAATGACTGTAATATACAAAAAACAACAACTAGAGCATGATAAAAACCTGATGTGACCTCTGCAGTTCTGTCCGTCTTTGGGGGATACCGGTGACAGAACCAGCTGCCACGGTAAGATAAATATACGTGTTCGACACATTAATTATACTGACTAAAAACCTGTTATGATATGCTTTAAAATGTAAGCTTAGAAATTACGGAAAATTATAACACATGCAATGACGCAGGACGGACCGAGACGTTGTCCCAATTAAGGTTCTTCTCCTAAGTTTCACTTCATCTAAGAGAACATTCTTTTTTTTTTTTTGAAGTATTAAAATATTGCGAGAAACATTTAGAATGCAGTGAAGAAATGTGACAAGTTCAGAGACAACAGGTCAGGAGATACACGATGACTTAACAAATAGCCTGTATACTTCACTGCAACAGGTTCATAGACAACTGGTTTGAGAGATCAAAGACGACTTTCGATTTAAAAAGATACATGAGCAGACCGAAATGATCAAGGTCCCAGGACCGAAACGTTGTCAGTAAATATATCCTGGTGTTTGCTAGGGTATATTTATCAGTATCAGTTACCAAGGTTTATACTAAGATGACTCGCAACATGCAGACTGTCCTACACTTCTCCATTGACAAGATATACACAAGATATACTTATATTATCAAACATTCTTTTTCCATCATTTCTATATTATTACATTCGTCAATAATGGCGACAAATGGCTTTATCATTCATACACAAACATATATTTTTTAATAAATCCTCTGGAAGAGGACAGTGAGGTGAAAAGTCTCAGTGTAGAGGGTTAGAGACGGAAGAGGGGAAATTTCTACCCACCCTACGAAAGCAAAAGACTTGGCAGACGATGCACCATCCCCCCAATGAAAAGCAGGGGTGTCACTAGCACGTTAAGAGACCATACAATAAGTGTCAGGGGCCCGAGACTGTTCAACTGCCTCCCAGCATACATAAGGGGGATTACCAACAGACCCCTGGCAGTCTTCAAGCTGGCACTGGACAAGCACCTAAAGTCGGTTCCTGATCAGCCGGGCTGTGGCTCGTACGTTGGTTTGCGTGCAGCCAGCAGTAACAGCCTGGTTGATCAGGCTCTGATCCACCAGGAGGCCTGGTCACAGACCGGGCCGCGGGGGCGTTGACCCCCGGAACTCTCTCCAGGTAAACTCCAGGTAAACCCCAGGTGAGCCGAGGTTGACCTCAAGAGTCATGGGTCACCCCCACACAGACGTGACCTCAAGAGTCATGGGTCACCCCCACCCAGGAAACCCGACACTCATTTTTTCATGGGTGACTTCATTCAAGTGAACATTTCCATGTACACTCCTTCAGGTTCCTCTGGCGACATGTACACTCCTTCAGGTTCCTCTGGCGACATGTACACTCCTTCAGGTTCCTCTGGCGACATGTACACTCCTTCAGGTTCCTCTGGCGACATGTGCGCTCTTTCTAAATAGTCGTATCTAGGAACTACAATATTATTTCTACGACAGAGTAATGACATTCAGCAAACGATCAAATGTTGGAATTTTATTTCTTGTTCTATAGTAGATAAATATGTTAAGTTTATCCTATCAGGCATGTGTGATGTGGTATCATTACTCTATATTAAATATTGTACACATTGATCTATTTATCATGCTACAATATCCCCGAGCTGCTATCCCGACTTGCTATCGTGCTAAAGTGTTTCCTGTGTTTTGAATGTACTTGTAGCCTCGGTAAGTTCATTAGTACACTTACAAGGTTCACACAACTATACCCTGCTAGCTGTACGAATTATTTACAATACAATCTACTAATTATTTACAATACACTTTGATAAATGAGACACTTGTGGAACATTTGGGAATCTGTATTCTGGAAACTTTTCGCTATACAGTGGATACTTCAATCCAATGCAGAAAAAGATGGACTGAAGAAGCCACTGTGTGGCGAAACGTTTCCAGAATAAAGATTCCCAAATGTTCCATAAGTGTCTCATTTATCAACTTGTCAGTTTTGTAAACCCTTTATTTACACGATACATTTTACCAATATACACTATCGTCTGTTTATGATGCGTTACGTTCTGGCACCGTTTACGATACACTTTACAAATACTTGTAACGGAACTTCTTAGACCAATAACATGAGTCCGAACTTGCTAGAACAATTTACGGGAGCGTTTTGATTTGTCATATGTGGCCTGGGAGCGTGGTAGCTGTCATATGTGGCCTGGGAGCGTGGTAGCTGTCATATGTGGCCTGGGAGCGTGGTAGCTGTCATATGTGGCCTGGGAGCTTGGCAGCTGTCATATGTGGCCCGGGAAGTGGTAGTTGTCGTATGTGGCCTGGGAGCGTGGTAACTGTCATATGTGGCCTGGGAGCGTGGTAGCTGTCATATGTGGCCTGGGAGCGTGGTAGCCTGGATACCTGGATACCTGGAGATTATTCCGGGGATCAACGTCCCCGCGGCGCGGTCTATGACCAGGCCTCCCGATGGATCAGGGCCTGATCAACTAGGCTGTTACTGCTGGCCGCACGCAGTCCAACGTACGAGCCACAGCCCGGCTGATCCGGCACTGACTTTAGGTATCTGCCCAGCTCTCTTTTGAAGGCAGCCAGGGGTTTATTGGCAATTCCCCTAATGCTTGATGGGAGGCTATTGAACAGTCTTGAGCCCCGGATACTTATGGCGTTTTCCGTTAGTGTACCAATGGCGCCCCTACTTTTTATTGGGGCATTTTGCATCGCCTGCCCAGTCTTTTACTTTCGTAGGGAGTGATTTCTGTGTGCAGATTTGGGACCATTCCTTCCAGGATTTTCCAAGTGTAGATTATGATATATCTCTCCCTCCTGCGTTCCAACGAGTACAAGTCAAGTGCTTCCAAGCGTTCCCAGTAGTTAAGGTGCTTGACAGAACTTATACGTGCAGTAAAGGATCTCTGTACACTCTCTAGATCTGCGATTTCACCTGCTTTGAATGGAGATGTTAATGTACAGCAGTATTCCAGCCTAGAGAGAACAAGTGATTTGAAAAGGATCATCATTGGCTTGGCATCTCTCGTTTTGAACGTTCTCATTATCCATCCTATCATTTTCTTTGCACGTGCGATCGTGGCACTGTTGTGATCCTTGAAAGTGAGATCCTCAGACATTACTACTCCCAGGTCCCTTACATTATTTTTCCGCTCTATTGTATGGCCAGAGTCTGTAGTATACTCTGTTCTAGTTATTATCTCCTCCAGTTTTCCATAACGGAGTAGTTGGAATTTGTCCTCATTGAACATCATATTGTTTACCGTTGCCCACTGGAAAACTTTGTTTATATCTTCTTGAAGGTAGCTGTCATATGTGGCCTGGGAGCGTGGTAGCTGTCATATGTAGCTTGGGAGCGTGGTGACTGTCATATGTGGCATGGGACTGTGGTAACTGTCATATGTGGCCTGGGAGCATGCTAGCTGTCATATGTGGTCTGGGAGTGTGGTAGCTGTCATATGTGGCCTGGGTGAGTGGTAGCTGTCATATGTGGCCCAGGAAGTGGTAGCTGTCATTTGTGGCCTGGGAGCATGGTAACTGTCATATGTAGACAGCCTGTACTGTCTGCACAGACAGCCCATGCTGTCTGCCAGCTTAGTTCATATTTTGCGCCACTCAAGTGCTGCCACCTTTAGGCGTTGCCACTTCAGCCTGCCTGCCCTTACCTCACTCTCACTCACACAGTGGCCTAGCAGGAAGACACAAGGCCTACTAGTAGCTCTCTCTCGTGGGATGGCCCTCCCGGGCCATGGGCAAACACACAAGCCTGTGTACCCACCACGACTTAGCAATAAACAAAGAAGCCTCCGATGACGTCTATCATTCACAGCCCGCTACCATACTACCAAACAATCCTTTAAGATAAGATAAGATAAGATAAGATTTCGTTCGGATTTTTAACCCCGGAGGGTTAGCCACCCAGGATAACCCAAGAAAGTCAGTGCGTCATCAAGGACTGTCTAACTTATTTCCATTGGGGTCCTTAATCTTGTCCCCCAGGATGCGACCCACACCAGTCGACTAACACCCAGGTACCTATTTGCTGCTAGGTGAACAGGACAACAGGTGTAAGGAAACGTGTCGAATGTTTCCACCCGCCGGGAATCGAACCCGGGCCCTCCGTGTGTGAAGCGGGAGCTTTAGCCACCAGGCCACCGGGCCACCCGGTTTATTATACATATGTGGCCTAGGAGCGTGGTAACTGTCATATGTGGCCTGGGAGCGTGGTAGCTGTCATGTGTCCTGGGAGCGTGGTAGCTGTCATATGTGGCCTGGGAGCATGGTAGCTGTCATATGTGACCTGGGGAAGTAGTAGCTATCATATGTGGCCCGGGAAAGTGGTAGCTGTCATATGTGGCCTGGGAGCGTGGTAACTGTCATATGTGGCCTGTGAGCGTGGTAGCTGTCATATGTGGCCTGGGAGCGTGGTAACTGTCATGTGTGGCCTGGGAGCGTGGTAGCTGTCATATGTGGCCTGGGAGCGTGGTAACTGTCATATGTGCCCTGGGAGCATGGCACGTGTCATATGTGGCCCGGGAAAGTGGTAGCTGTCATATGTGGCCTGGGAGCGTGGTAGCTGTCATATGTGACCTGGGAGCGTGGTAGATGTCATATGTGGCCTTGGAGCCTGGTAGCTGTCATATGTGGCCTGGGAGCGTGGTAGATGTCATATGTGGCCTGAGAAAGTGGTAGCTCTCATATGTGGCCTGGGAGCGTGGTAACTGCCATATGTGGCCTTGGAGCGTGGTAGCTGTCATATGTGGCCTGGGAGCGTGGTAGCTGTCATATGTGGCCTGGGAGCATGGTAGATGTCATATGTGGCCTGAGAAAGTGGTAGCTCTCATATGTGGCCTGGGAGCGTGGTAACTGTCATATGTGGCCTTGGAGCGTGGTAACTGTCATATGTGGCCTTGGAGCGTGGTAGCTGTCATATGTGGCCTGGGAGCCTGGTAGCTGTCATATGTGGCCTGGGAGCCTGGTAGCTGTCATATGTGGCCTGGGAGCGTGGTAGCTGTCAGCGGCGCTTCCTTGAGAACGCGAGAGTTAGTTTAGTAGTGCCGCCTTCAACAGCTAATTTATCGTACGCTTGCAGCTCATCCTGTGAGCCGTAGCGCAGAAAAAACAGCATTACAGAGGTCACAATGGGTCTGTATCAGACACCAATGAACACTGTTACAACACTAGAAAGAAATATTAGTTATTTCGAATTTTGCAATTACTTTATACATAGTACAGTAAAGAATACAATCTCAAAAAGTTGATTTATTATTACCAAAAAAATTTGGTCATAGTTGGGTTGCAATCTCTATGAAGACAGTTTGTTCGTCTAGTATATGCAAAATGTGGATACAGCCTCTTGATTTCAGATATCTTATAATTAACAATGAAGTGTTTTGCTATATTCTGTAAGGTTCGCATGAAGGTGTCGCTGAAACGTTGGCTGTTTGGACGCTAAGAACGTGAGAGTTCTGCTGGATGGCAAGACTTGCCCACAAATATGAAAAATACTGTGGGCGGATCACTCATTTATCAGCTTGAAAAAACTGGTAAAGCTTCATTTAGAGCTAATCATACGTCGTAAATGTGTGTCTGATTTGTACAAACTGTCTTCTTTATAAATTACAGAGTAGCTTCTGGCATCCCCTCAGGTGCAGAATAGTCGTCATCACCCCACAGTAAAGAACAACCCCTTTTTTATAGTCTTTTATTTAGCTGATGTCAGCCAGTTGCTGATGGAAAACATACCGACCTGGGAACTATTGGAACCATACTACATCAAAGTTTGTACATCATAATTGCCAACCAACATCTTGGAATCTTGATGCAAGTAATTCTTCAAAGCTTGCTTCAATCTATAGGTATGACCTACTTTCATTAATGGGGTTTTCCACCGGTAACGCCGTCTACCACTGCTTCATCTCGCCTGTCTGCAGTATATAAGTTCCTTCTTAGGCCATGGCAGTGGACTACCTGGACTTGATGGATGGACTGAACACATCGATTCCAGGCTGAGGTACTGATTACTTCTAACTCTTCTAATCTTCCACCGTTCTTCACTGTTCTGGACTGAAGAAGTCACTGGCTAGAAGAACGTTTCCAGAATATAGATACCCAAATGCTGCACAAGTGTCTTATTTATCTACACTGGATAGCACCAAGTTTGCTTAATTTAAAAGGTTCTACTGATAGAATCCGTTGATATTTATTAAAGGACACGTTCCACCACGAGTGGCTTCATCAGTCCTAATACAGAGTAAGTTAAAACAGGTTAATATGTAGTAAACAGTGCAAGTGGCCTGAGGAAAAAGTGAGGTGAAGCAGGAGGTACATCAAATTGCAGAAAAACGTAGAACAAATATATAAGTGAGAGGGGTTAGATCTCAGTAGGACCTGTCAAGCATGGGCTAGTGCTCCTGGT